CCCCATGTCCCATCCTCTTTCCATCTGTTTCTGAAATCTGCATTGCGTCTTTCTCTACATCCCATTGCAATTGCCTGGGTTCAGCACGCCAGTGTTCCCCTAAAGATTCCTGTAGTATCCTCATTAGTCTTCCTGCTTCCCATTTTGGATCACCATCTGACTTTATTCATTAGCAATTATAAATCTGATCATGTCACTTTCCTACCTAAAGCCCCTTGCAGCAGTTCTCAACCTGTGGGTCATGAACAATGAAAATACACCCTGCATAGCAGATATTTATATTACGATTCATAACAGTAGCAAAATTACAGTTATGAAGTAGCACTGAAAATAATTTTATGGTTGGGGGTCACCAACACAACATGAGCTGTGTTAAAGGGTCGCAGCATCAGGAAGGTTGAGAACCACTGCTTTAGAAAGAGGAAGGGAGAGGGAGAGAGAGAAACATCCCTGATGAGAGAGAATCACTGATCGGCGCCTCCTGCCCGCCCCTCACTGGGGATGGAGCCTGCAACCCAGGCCTGTGCCCTGACCGGGAATCGAACTGTGACCTCCTGGGTCATAGGTCGACGCTCACCCCCTGAGCCAGGCCGGCCGGGCAGGTGTTCTGTTTTGTTAAACAAAGAAGGTCCTGACGGCTGAGCCGCTGGGCAGTGGGCAGCGGCCGGGCGCTGGGCTCCGGCACCGAGACCCCCCTCTCCCCGCAGTCCTCTTCGGCGCCCTGTTCGCCGAGCACAAGGAGGCCGCCTTCGCCCACTACCGCCTGTGGGAGGCCATGGGCTTCGTGGTCGCCTTCGGCTACAGCACGTTCCTGTGCGTCCACGTCAAGCTCTACATCCTGCTGGCCATGCTGAGCGCCGCCATGATGTCCTACGTGGCCGTCGAGGTCATGGAGTGCAGGGCCCTGCGCGGGCCATCGGTCACGGTGACCCCAGCCGAGGCAGGAGAGACGCAGACGAAAATGTGACAGCACCGCGCTCCGCGGGCGGCGACCGAGGCCACACGGAAGGGGCCTCGAGGTTGTTGTCCACCCTTTACAGCCGTTTTAGCAGGAGGTGCCACTTGAGAGACATAAGATAGTTTTATTTTTGTACGTAAAGTTTTTCTAGTCCACCAAGTGTTCAGTCCACCATCTCTCACCAATAAGGGTGAAGAGAGCACACGAGAAAAATCAGTGCCTTTCAGATGCAAGAGGAGAAGGTTTAGGGCACGATTGCCGACGGAACTCGCTCCGAATCCTGGACTCAGCGGCGTGGTCACTGCTGGCGTGGTCACTGCTGGCGTGGTCACTGCTGGTGTGATCACTGCTGGCGTGAACTTGCTGGCGTGGTCACTGCTGGCAATGTCTTTAAGGACCAGAACTTGCTTAAAACAATGCAGCCACCCTGTGATGCCGCCCCCGACGCCCAGGCGGCCACTGCTGCCTCCCGAGGCGTGTGACCCAGACAGAGCACAGTCTGTGCTGCCTGAACGGACAGCATATGAGATCCTGAGTAAATACAACCATATTGTGAACGTCCTCCTATCCAGGTACTTTCATTCCAAATATTCATGTGGAGATTGGGAGGCGGGGGAGGGTAGAGGGGCGATAAAGGGTGATGCACGGAGACTCAAGTTGGGGTGGGGACACACAGTACAACGTACAGATGATGGGTTTAAATATTTTTAAAATTTATTTTTATTGATTTCAGAGAGGGAGAGGGAGATAGAAACATCAATGATGAGAGAGAATCATGGGCCGGCTGCCTCCTGCACACCCCCTACTGGGGATCAAGCCCACAACCCAGGCATGTGCCCTGACCGGGAATTAAACCTGGGACCCTTCAGTCCGCAGGCTGATGCTCTATCCACTGAGTCAAACCAGCCAGGGCCAGATGATGTGTCTAGAACTGTGCACCTGAGGCCTGTATAATTTTCTTAACCAGGGCCACCCCAATAAATTCAATAAAAGAGAAAAAAATTAAAAATCAATAATCCTCACCTGGATCACACGGGGCAGCCGTCAGGTCGGTGAGGGAGCAGGCTGCAGGCGACCGAGCTGGGCTGCAAACAAGTGCCTGGCTGGGCATGTCTTCGTGCTGCGTGTCCACCTGGGAGTCGGCCCCTGCGCTCAGCAGCCTCTCCGTCCCTCACGTCTTTCATGGCTCCGAGCAGCTGGTCAGGCTCCGCTGCTCTCGCTCCAGGCGCTGCTGTCTCTCCTTCTCTCCGCGTCCTCTGCACCCGCTGGGACTGGGACTGTGGGCCCTGTGGTTTCTCTTCCCGTGTGGCTCCTGCCCTCCTGGTCGGTGCTCCTCTCCACATGTCCCACCCTCCACGCCCCGGCCCAGAGCCGCCAGGCCCCTCTCAAGGGCTTGCTTTCCCTCCACCTCCCCTCGCTTCTCGCTTCCTCAACCTTGAATCACACCCTCCCCGACCCCACCTCCCCACACCGAGTCCTCTGGGTGGTCCCCGTAGCCTGTGACAACCCTGTGTGACACCTGTTTGTGCACGAACGTCTCCCCTGCCGGGCCCTACGCTTTCCAATGTCCGGTGTGGACACTAGTGGGCGCTTCACGGATGTTTGCTGCGTGAGGAAGATCCAGGAAGGTCCCTGAGGACCCATGGCTGTTACAGACCCGAACCCCCCAGCTGGAGGGACCCACGTCCCCTGCCCTCATGGGAGGCCTGCACACCAAGGCCCCCTGAGCTCTTGAGGCTGTGAAATGCCACGCTCCCTGTCGCGGGAAATGCAAGCCCCCCTCCACCCCCTCGCCTCACCACCACACACTCTCACACTCACACACACACACACACACACACACACACGTGTGCGCACGCATGTACTTCCAGGAGGCCACGCCTGATCTCTAACTCCAGCCTTCCCTCTCCCTGCTCCCTGATGAGATGGAAAGGAGGAAGATGGAGACACCATGTGTGCACTGCCTGCCTTACCATCCCAGACCCCTCCCAGCGAGCCAGAGGCCCATGGAAACAGCCATTTGCTGACCTCTGTTCTGAACTTCCCCACAGAGCAGGCCATCTTGTCCATGTCTCTGGAAAGCTCCTGTGGTTCTCAA